GCATGACGACAGCTTTGGACTGCAGATTTGTGAATTTATCTATCAAATACTTGGGTTTGCCTCTTGGTGCTAGCTTCAAAGAGGTAAGAATGTGGGATCCGGTGGTGGATAGATTTGAGAAGAGGTTGACAGGTTAGAAGAGGGGCCTTTAGTTAAAAGGGAAAAGGCTCACGCTTATTAAGAGTTCTTTGGTTAACCTCCCTAGTTATTACATGTCTATGATGACCATTCTGAAAAGTGTAGTAAAAAAGTTGGAAGCAATACAGAGCAGGTTCCTGAGGGATGACATGGGTAAAAGACAGAGGTATTATTTGGTGACTTGGAGCGAGCTCAAGAAGCCATTGTACATTGGTTGCTTGGGATTGTGATCTTTAAAGGAGATGAATGAGTCTCTACAAGGTAAATGGTTTTGGAGATTTATAACAAAAGAGGATGCGATGTGGAGAAAAGCAATTGTAGCAAATAATTTGGTATGCATGATAAAAGATGGCTTACCTCAGAAAGTCCGAGACCGGATTGGAAAAGCTGGTGGAAAAAAATCAGCAAAGGGAAAGAAAAATTTCAAGAGTACATAAGGTGGAAGGTTGGTAGGAGGGATAGAATTAGACTGTCGGAGGATCACTGGATGGAATGGCCCACCATAAGAGTGTGTTTTCCTCAAATTTATGCAATAACTCAACAAAAAGACATTAAGATCTATGATCTTTAGTGGTGAAACAATAGTGGTGGAAAGGAATAGCAAGTTCTTGTGTTGAAGTATTTCAATGATTAGGAGGTTGAAGAATATGAGTGAAGAAATTTGAGAGGAAATGTTGCTTCTCATTTATATTTTCCATCATAAATGATGGGTATTTATACATTCTAAATGCTAATAAACCCAACAAATTCTAACAAGATTCTAACAATTTTATGGGGAGAAGGAAATTTGTTTGTAACTTTCTCCGTATACAGCTAATAGAGGGAAAAAAAAAACAGAAAATATACAACTTAATTTTTTCTTATTTTCTACACTCCCCCTCAATCTAGTTTATATATATGTTGAGTAAACGTAGATTGGATATTATGTCATTGAAGGTTCTTTTAAGTAGAGTTTTCGCTAGAATGTCCGCAATCTGTTGACTGGTTGAAATGTGCATCAGTATTATGGTTCCATCTTCTAATTTCTCTTTGATAAAATGACAATCAATCTCCACATGTTTGGTTCTGTCATGATCTACAGGGTTCTTGGCCATACGGATGGTTGATTGATTGTCGCACCACACCTTCATAGTCATGTTGTTAGGAGACTTTAATTCGACAAGTATTCTCTTTAACCACATACCTTCACATATTCCATGAGTACAGTCTCTAAATTCAGATTCTGCACTGCTGTGAGATACAACTGACTGTTTCTTGCTTCGTCAGGTGACTAGATTCCCCCAAATGTAAGTACAATACCCTGATGTAGATCTTCTATCATTTGTGGAGCCTGCCCAATCTGCATCAGTGTAAATTTCAACATCTCTTCTATCTATCTTTTGAAAGAACAACCTTTATCTTGAAATTTTTTAAAGATATCTCAGAATTCGATACACAGCTCTCATGTGTTTCTCAGTTGGCTGATTCATGAACTGACTTACTGTACTCACTGTAAAGCTAATGTCAAGTCTTGTATGTGCTAGGTAGATAAACTTCCCAACGAATCTTTGGTACCTCCCTTTATCAATTGTTTTATCACTGTTTT